ACAAAATCACAACATAACATAACAAAACAAAACAACCCATATTTTCAGCGCCCGGGATTCAGCTGGTAGAAGACAATTGGAGCACTGTGACCACCACCACCATCAGCAGCCACTGCAGCAGCCGTGACTTTGCCATGAGCCCCAGGTCTGGCAATGAGCTACCCACCAGCTGCCCGGACCTGGAGCGGGTTTTCAGCACCTCCACCTCGCTCTCCCCCAACCCCTCCTCCGGGGGCTTCTCATTCAACGACGGTGTCGCAGAGAAGAGCCAATCAGAGACGAGGACTTCAGCGAGGAGTAAGATTGTTCTAGAAAAAGACTGCACCATCACGGCATCGGCCTCCATCAGTTCTTCTTCCTTCTCCTCCAACTCCAACCCCACCTCTAAAGACGGAGCAACAGAAGCTGGCAGCAGCTCAAATAACTGTGCCAAGTGTGGTAAAAACAATACAAATAATTCCAGCACCGGCAGTGGAGGCAGCTATAATGGTGTCAGCACGAACGACAAGCCCTGTTTTTGCAAAAGCTGCTACAGCAAAGTTAATACATGGGCAACCAGCACTGCCAACAAGACGGCGAAGAACAACGAGAGCGCCCTGCCGAGAAATGATTCCACAAAAGATTTAGCAGCCAAGGAGGACAGTAGGCTACAAAATCCTTCTCCACACAACCCTGATACAGAAATTGCAGCTGCAGCACAAGCAGCAGCAGCAGCAGCGTCAGCAGAAACACCACCAGCAGTGACGGCAGCCGCTGGACCAATCACGGGAGGCGTTGTCTCTCCCAGAAGCCCATCCTCAAAGTCCCCGCCCATGTACTCCAAGCTCCCGCCCGGTAACCCCTCTAGGAGAACGTCGGCCTCTGCCCAAGCGGAAAACAACCAGGGCATCTCACCGGAGGGACTCAGAAGGAGGCTCGCTTTCCAACAATCGAAAAGTAAAAGACAGACAACTTAAGCAGTGTCATTATTTTTGTAACGAGTTCGTGGCCTTATTCGCAATAGGCATGGGTTTGATTCCCGTGTGGTGAAAATCATTTCTCGGGTGCTCCCCGACGTTCTGACTTGTATTGGCCCAGATAGGTAGCATCAAAGCAGGCAGCCTCCCCAAACGACTATGTAGCCCACGTTGTCTACCGGCAAAAACAAAAACAAAACCAAGAACGAATTGATAGAAATCGTGGTGTTAGACAAATGCGTGTAACTTGACAAGTTTTCACACAGACATGGGACAGAAACTGAGTGATACTGTGGACTCTGCAAATTGTGAAACCTGGACTTTTATGAATAACACACTATATTTTAATGGACTTTCTCGCAGAAATATGGTATTAAGTAGAGTTGTGAATGGCAAAAATTCAAAGTAATAAACTTTGATAAACCCAAAGAGGACCGGTACCATTACATTCAAAATGGCGTCGTGAGTCTCCGTGTGGGTTGTGACAATGTGATTGGTGGAGTAGTAAACTGCGCAAACCGAAGGATAGATCTAATACATCAGTACTCAGAAGAAAGCGGATTCGACCTTATACAGTCTGTGAAGTGATATTATTGTTATTCTTGTTATTCTTATTCCTATTCTTATAATGAAGATAGTGATTTTATAATGGTCTTGTTGTTGTTTTTATTATCATTATTATCAGGTTTTTTATTACTATTATTATGATTATGAAGATGATGATGAGGATGATGATGATGGTGATGGTGATGATGATGATGATGATGATGATGATGATGATTATTATCATTATTTAGTATAATTAAGCTTATCATTATTATTACGTGGCGTTGGTGGCCTTGTAGTTATGTTCTCGTACTCGCTCGCAATCATTAAGGTCGTGAGTTCGAATCTCGTCAGGGGTTCGGCATTGTGTCCTTGGGAAAGGCACTTTACACACATTTCTCTCACTTCAACCAGGTGAGAATGGGTACCCGGCTACAGACAGCGAAATAATTATCTTATCAGTTTGTTAGTGCTTGAGCACTTTACTATAGCTTCTAGCACTGCGTGCCTCCAGGAGAATAGAGAAGGCTGGTGTTTAGTGATGGGCAGGTATCGATACCAGGTACTCGATACTTAGATACCTATGGGTATCGGTATCGGTACCGATACCTGCTCTAAGCATCGATACCTATGTGCTATTTCAAAGATAGTACAAGACAAGATGGGCCACTCAGCCTAAAAAGTGTCCGCAGGAAGTATGCTCTTTGCTTCAGATGGC